TGGGCAGCCTAGTTTCCCCAGGGTTGTGCTCTCTGTTTTGTTGTGGTTGTTACTAACAACAGTCAGGGATAAGACCACTCAGATCTCCACAGATTCATAGTGCTTTTTAATGCATCTTGGAGGCTCATGGCATTCTGGAAACCACTGGGCAGGACAGTGAGTGTGTCATGGGTGACAGATGAACTCTGCTGAGCTAACCTGCCCTGGTGAGGTGACTCCTTAGAACTCTGGAGAATCCTGAACTAGTGTGCCCCCACCACGGGCCAGTGGCCAAACACAGTCGGAACTTCCAGACTCACTACAAACACACAGCAGCCTGTGACCTTGACAGAGGAGGATGTATCCTGGACCTTTGCAGTTAGGAATGGCTGGCCACCTGTATTTACACTCAGACCAGGCCTGTGTATTGTGAGGCGCTGGCTTTTGTTTTGTTTTAAAGCTGCATGCCGATGGCTTTAATGGGAAGAGCCCTGGAGATGGAAATGGACTCTTTCAGTATGAACCCATTGACAGCTCCAGGCATTTTATCCATCCTGTTGCCCCACACTCTAATACGAACTCACATTTCGTCCTAAGATTACTTTATCTCCTCTCTCAGAACAAAGAACTCACAGAAACGAAAATATCAGAAGTGTTTTCCATAACACTTCCAATACAACAAGCTTTGCATTGAAAACTGAGAACAACGGTAAGCATTGTAATGTTTCCAACATTGGTTTTTTGGTTAGCTTATACGGCTGCAGTCTGAAAGAAAGGTTTGACTGACATTATTACACTTCTTAAATGTAAAAGGATGGCGTTCAGACACTTGGGGTTTGCTGCATTTCGGTGATGCCAACCAACAAATAAAAGTGTGATTTGAAAACAAGAAAAACGAAACAGCCTATTTCTACCACAAGTGTTATTCCTAACCTCCTAAAGGGATTTACCATTCCCCTGGATGGATCCACCACAGACAAAATCAGGCATTTTTACTACCCATGATTGTTTTTTTTTTTTTTTTTTAAAGATTTTTTGTTTGGTTTTTCAAGACAGTCTATGTGTAGCCCTGGCTGTCCTGACACATGATCTGTAGACCAGGCTGGCCTCAAACTCCTAGAGATCTGCCTGCCTCTGCTTCCCAAGTGCTGGGACTAAAGACATGAACCACCACACCCAGGTCACCAAAACTAGGTTTTAGTAAGTGAAATCAAGAACTAAGTAACAGAGCCCTAGTGTCTGTGTGTCAGGCAGGAAGAGACGATCTCTGTACCATAAACATTTTCAATGAGTAAAAAGACATCAGGGTTTTTTTTTTTTGTTGTTTTGTTTTGTTTTTTGCTTTTTATCCTTGGCACCTTGCCTGGTATGTGCAAATGGCATGGTGGTGCGTCTCCATTTGACACCTAAGACTTTTCTATATAGAAGGACAAATTATAGTTCAGTTACCACAAGTGTAAAGACACCCTACTCAGCTGCCTGCCAGTCAGACTAGGAATAATGGCCTTGACCAACTCACAGAGCAATGACTCATTCTTTAAAATTCTTTGGCTCAATTTAGTTCACTAGGTAGAAAAAAAAAAAAAAAAAACCTCAAAACTCAAGATATCACCCACAGCTTCGTGGTAGAAGTCACAAACCTTGTTAACGTAGTCAGCCCTGCAGGACCTTGCTGGCACAGGAGAGCTGGTTCTTAAGAGAGTTTGGGAGAGTCCTAGCTCTTACTCTCTCAAGTGCTGACAGGTGCCCCGTGCAGGAGGGAAGGCCCAGGCTGCTGTGTAATCACATGGATGCCGACTATTTGCTAACAATCGCAAGAAATGGGACGTTTGCTTCCTTTGCCCCTTTGGCTGTCACCTCAGGTTGGCTTCTGCAGTGTGGTGTGGAGGTTTTATTTTTTTATTTAGTTTTGCCTGAAAGCTGAAAAAGGCCTGTGGAAAATTCTGCTGCAGACATCAGGGGAGAGAGCCTGCATACTGATGAAGACCAGAAACCTCTTTGCTTTGTAATAACCTTCAGAATAAACAGGTCCAGGGCTGAGGTGAGTCCGGTAGCGGTAGCGAGAGATAGACGGGCTTGCCTGGTGTGTGGACTCTAGCCCTAGAACCACTCAGACAGACAAGGCCCCCCACCCCACCCCCAAGCCCCCCACAAAGCACTTATTCCCCTACGGTTGGTTTCTACATTTTTGGTTCATTCACCTGAGTTCCACCACAAAACCAGGTTTTATAAAGGACGTTAATAACCTGAAACATTTGAGTCACTGTGAAAAATCCTGACTGAATCATCCCTAAATTTAAAATAAGACCACAAAGCCATTCCTATAGCTTCCATGTCAAAGGGCACGTGAATGCCCCGCCACTGGGTGGATTTTATGATAAGGACTGGGCCTAGGTGCGGTGATGGACAGGCCTGACTTGGAATGGTGGGGAGGGGCTGTGCAGAAGTGAAGGGCTCCGTGTGTGACAGAGGAAAGAACTCCAGGAACTCCACAGTGGAGACGCAACCCAGGCAAAGCAACTGCTGACTCCATCTTTGTCTCCTCCTGTGAAATACCCAGGGCATGTTACAGAACCGTGAGACACAGAGCCGGGCCCTTGTTAAAAAAAAAAAAAATAAACAAAACCAAAACCAAACCAAAACAAAACAAAGCAAAAACATGAGCTCTGTGGAGAGTGCTTCCCGGTGTGAACCTTGAGACATAGAGCCGGGCCCTTGTTAAAAAAAAAAAAAAAACAAACCAAAACCAAAATATGAGCTCTGTGGAGAGTGCTTCCCGGTGTGTACGAGGTCCTGGGTCCAATTCTCAGTACCAGTGATGGTGACAATGACAGTGTTAGAATTACCAGCTGAGTAACTCAGTGACCAGAGCCAGCTCCACACCGAGGTTTCAGAAACAGCTCTCCAGTCACTCGTGGGGCACACGCCTGCCCACGGCAAATCAGATGCATTTTCACGACAGGCCAGGCTCTCTGTTCCGGCTCTCTGTTCCTGCTGTAATGTGTTACTCCACGTCACAAGGGCCGGATAGCATGCTACAAGACACACTCGACAGCTTTGAGGAACACTTCACAATTGAGTTTCTCCCAGGCAACATCTCTACCATGGAAACAATCTCATTGGCCCATTTAATATCCAGGCCAACGAAGCAAGCTGACGTCGCCGGTTTTCTTTTTAAGCAGCACTTGTTTTTACTGCTCAGGGAGATGCCCAACTGGGCAGACAGATGAGGAAGGAGACATGCCTGACATAGCAGTCTCCTAGGCGATGTGTGGTTTTTTTCTCCTTAGAAATGTTTATGTTGCAATTGCCTTTTTAATTATTCTAACAAACTTACACTGAGACCTCCTGTAGCATTTTACAAAAGGGAATGTTATGTCAAACTCTGAAGTTCTATCTGCCCCATTGGTTTTTAATGCACCCTTTTTGGTAAATGCTATTCTAAAAACTGATACTAAGATGTTGCCAAGGACCCCTGCTTCCCAAATTAGGGGGCTTGGAATTGTTTTTATAATAAATGCTGTAGTACATATTTTTGACCTTGGTGCTAAAGATGTTACGTCTTTGATGGAAGAAATTAAGATTCCAGATCATTTATGAAATGTAACACTGACAAACAATTACATATATCAGTTAATAGTGACAAATACTGGCCCCAAAAAGTAGGATTGCACGGGGTCAAATCCCCTTTTTTTGGGGGGGGGGAGACAGGGTTTCTCTGTGTAGCCCTGGCTGTCCTTCAACTCGATCTGTGGACCAGGCTGGCCTTGAACTCACAGAGATCAGTCTGCCTCTGCCTCCCAAGTGCTGGGATTAAAGGTGTGCACCACTAACACCTGGTTTCACCATGTCTTTCAAATAAGTTTTCAGCCATTTATTTCAACTTACCTTCCAGAAACATTTCACGTTTTGGCTATAATGTTTGTGTGACAGCCGGCTCAGCATCAGGACCTATTGCCTGTGGGTTTCTGTTTTCAGTGGTAAGTACCCAGTTAGAAGCATATCCAATTCCTTCACTGACACCCAAACACTGAGCCCACCCCTAATTCCATTAGCTTTAAGTGGCAAATAAGCAGTATAGTTCGGGGGAGAATGTTAAAGCTTTCCTGTTTTGCAGTTTTCATAGGATTGGTTTTGGCAACTGCTATCATCAAAATGACTATGTACAGAGGAAAAAAAAAAACCAGACATGTGGATATATATGTGTATATATTAAATATTTCATAAGTTATACAATAAATAACACTAAAAATAATGTCAAATTATGATTTCAACTTTGCCTCATTTTTTTAAATATAAATATATTTTTAAAAAATTATGAATTTAGACTTCTTTACCCGAGGGTTTCAGAGCATTCTCCGAGGAGTCTGAAAACTTACCAGGCAGAGAAGTCACTTGTCTTTTAAGTATACATTCCCACTGAGCCCCAAAAGTCAATAAATAGAGTGCTTTTTCCCCTCTGCAGTCCTGGAGGGATCCTGCAACACAATGTAAAGGTTCCTCAATGCTCAAATACATCTTTGAGAAATAATAAATCTCACAATGTCTTGACCTTAAGAGAATAAAGGCGAGCATTTCTCTGGACTGGCCCCCTAACAGAATGCACCCCGCACCCCACAGCTCCACACCCAAGCAGCACATTTCAGGATGGTGGTAGTCTCCTGGCTAATGTACTGACAAGTTTCATAGTGGAGATGCAATTCTAGCAAGATCTGGAATACAATGAATTCAAACACTTAGAAACATTCCCATAACTAATTAAAGATGTTGAGCTTTTTGTTTTGTTTTGTTTTTCTTTTTTTAACTGCTCAGGAAGCTTTTTCCTGTAGAGATAAAGATACCCATATACAATTCTAGAAGATACCCTCATGTTTTAGGCACTGGAAAAATGTCTTTCAGAGTGGAAATTAATGCACTTCTCCAACGGCCCTCAGTGACACTCTTGGGGGATATTACACTGAGCCCAGAGATCGAGTACTCTGCCCCCCACCCCCTGCCTTCCACAAGCTTCTTTTCACCAACCACTCTGGATTCTTGAGAAGTAACTGAACTTCCACGAGTAGATTTGCTCAAGGGTTGACTTCAGAGGACACAGCCTTCCTTACTGACAGCTGTCTCCTCTACAGAGCTTCAAGCTTCCCTGTTTCTGGGCTACAGTAAAAATGGAGTTCCGTATCCTGTAAAAGTGTGCACACCACTTCCCTTCTGTCCACTCCCCTTCACAGAAACAACTCTTTCAGCACAGCACGGTCACCCACTGTGCCACCAGGAGGGGCCTGGCTGGCTGGCAGAGCCTGCTGTGTGTGTGTGAGGCCTCCCTCTGTCCTCTTCCAGCCTGCTGAGTCCCATGCCGCTGTGTCCTTGGACTATGTTTGATCCCTTTCTCTGACTTCTTGTAACCTTCTCTCCAGGCGATCCAGCTTGGCTAGATTCTCCTTCAGCAGCTTGCTGTCCGGAACCAGCCTCAGAGCTCTCTCATAATAGCCCCTTGCAGACACATAGCTTCCCTGGGTGGGTGGGGGTGGTAAAAAGAAAGATTGCTTAGTATAACCCTCTGAGGACGGGAGAAGGGGCTGGCTCTCTCTCTCTCTCTCTCTCTCTCTCTCTCTCTCTCTATCTTTTGGGGTGCTCTCGGGGAATCCATTTGTTTTAAGAATCAGAAGCTGCACCATAACTTAAGTGGCAGAGGCACAGACCTCAGCTTCCATAGTACCAGGAAGGAGGGAGGAGTCTGCCATTCTATAGTGTTCTCTGGAGGGTTAGCACTGGTCTGTTGTTCTCTGTAAGCAAGTAGGCTTGGGGTGGGGGTGGGGAGGGAGGGAGAGCAATAATTAAACAGACATCTATTTTATCTTCTCAGTTTGTTCTAATCTTCCACCCGAATCACCAAAGCGGCCTCTGCCTGATGCAGGTTTTACTCAAGGAAAGTGCTGGTTAAGGTGGGCTGCAGGGATGGGCTGGACGGTCAGGAACGCTCCTTCCTCTAGCGGGCCCTTGGGGTCGCTGGCTGCTATTCACAGCACACACATGGTGGCTCACAACTACCTGTAACTCCAATTCAAGGGGCTGAACACTGGGTGCACACAGTGCATGTATGTACACAGAGGCGAAGCTCTTACTTGTAAAGGAAATAAATCTTTAAAACATAACAAAACAAAACGTAAAGATGGACAAAGATTTATCATCTAGCCGGCAGGGCAGACACTTGCTGCAGGAGGGAAGGAGGGATATGACCCCTGACCTGCTGAGCACACCTGTTCCCTTTTCTATCAGCATTCATCTGTTTAATAACAGATGTGTGTGCCTGGGCCCAGTGGTCACAGCCAATAGCCTTTCCTGATCCCTCTTCTACTGTCTGATGCACATCGGCCTTGTCTGGTGCGGCCTTGAGGTTCTGAGTCCTGCAGAGCCCCAAGACTCTCTTGTTGCAGAGCGTCTGGTGTTTCCTCTGCTCACAAGGCCCAGGAAGCTCATGAGACTTGCAGGACTCCTGGGGCCCCTCTCTGAGCTCACATAAACAGTCAACAGTGGCTGCAAGCTGGGGAAGGAGGCTCAGGTGGCTGAGACTCATGAGAGCTGGGCAGCAACTCTGGAGATACCAAGCTGAGATGAGTTTTCAGTGATGCTCAAGGTCACGTACACTCCTGAGAGTAAAATAGCAGCTCATCGATTCACCAAGCTGGACTTAGCTGGGCCTCTTTCCTCGGTCTCTCCTGTCTGGGGCACAGACGTCCACACTTTCCGCAGGAAGCTGCCCAATTCCTTCCCATTCTAAAGCAACACACTGACTTGATGTCATCCTGAGCTGCAGCTCCCACGTGGGTGGACACAGATGTTTTAAATCTCATCACGATTTAAAACAACACCTCTCCAAAGCCAGCAGCTAATGCTTACCAAGGTGTGAGCATCTTCCCACATGTGTTCGTGTGTGTCAAGAGTATAGACGATGCCTGACGCACAGTGAGACCTCAACGGGATTCTAGAGTTACCCCCCATCACCGAGTAGACTGTTCAGTCTCTATGACTCCCTGTCTAGTTATCATGGTGTTTATTCGTGCAGCTGCTGCTGTAGGAGGGTATGGAAATGCTGGGGTGGGGGTGGGGGACAAAACAAGAGAAAAAGTAGTTGTATACTGAGTAGCCAGCACTGGCTTGAGCCGTAGACCCTTACATCTGACAGTTAATGCTGATGAAAACGGACCATGCTGACTTGGAACAAGGAGGCCAGTTCTGCTATGTTGTTTTTTTGTTAACTCCAGCATCCTCCTCCAAGCCTCTGGTTTCTGTGGATCCAAGTGCTGGAAAGATTCTCCTCACAGCGGAGGGGGCTACCCTGAATTTAGGCCTCATCCTTAACCTGGCATTGTCTCAGACCACTGGGTTTCTGTCTTTTTAGTTTTCCCTCTCTCCCTCAAATTTCTCTTTTCTTGACGAAAGTATAAACCCTGTTTATTTTTTTTTCTTTTAAATCATATCCCTTAAGTCAATGACTATAATTCTATGCTATGTAGGAACTGGAATGATCCAATTTCTAGAATAGAATTTTAACTAATTAAGACTAAAACTGACCAGTTATACCAGGCACATTCCCTGTGCCCTGTTGCTGTGGCCAGTGTCCTCGGACAGTGAAGACATGCTCATCATGCTGGAGAATTCTACTGGACAGCAACATTCTGCAAAGCACAGGTGGCAGTCATAAAGCCATGCTGAGCCAGTACTTTGAAATACGGCCTGGATGATGGACTCCCATTACAGCTTGAAATTCTAGCCCATCTACTTCATCTTATGTAAGAGTCCACGGAACATTCCAGAGAGTGAGCATCTCTACCCCCAAAATGCAAAATGTTTAAAGCCTGACACTTTCTGAACAGACAAGGCACTGTAAATAGAGGCTTTGGTAACTGACCTCATGGGATGACCTGCCTGCCAAACTGCGGACACGCTAAAAAATATCCCATACAATTAGCAGCAGGGGCTGCATGTAAGGGCAGGTGTGAGTGGTGGAGTGGATTCTGCGGTTAGACTTGACTGTCTGCATCTGAGGCACTTTGGGTGACAGCATTGGCCTTAGACACAGTGTGTCACCGTGTCCTTCCTTCCCAGGATAGCCACAGCCATCAGTGTCTTCCCCCATTTCCAACACCACCTCCTTGCAAAACCTTACTTCATATCTTCACCTCCACAACCCTCAAAGACCCACACTCCCCAGGCACAGGGCAGGAGCCAGGGCCAGGGATGGACTGATGGGAGATGTCATTCTGTAAATATGTTTCTCATACTGGTTAATGAATAAAGCACGGTTGGCCAATAGGAAAGCTAGATAGGAGGGACTAGGAGACAAGGAGGATTCGAGGAAGTAGTAAGGAAGAGTCAAGATGGAAGATGGAGAGAGCAGAACGCTGGCGGCCTTTCTCTCCGGTAAGATAAGACCACGTGGAAGTACTTAGATTAATAGAAATGGGTTAATAATTAAGACAGAGCTAGCCAATGAGAAACTAGTACCTGGCCAACAGCATTATATCAAATACAGAGTCTCTGCGTGTTATTTGGGGCTGGCGGTGGGACCAGACCGGCGGCGGGGGGGTGGAGTGGTGGGGGACGGATGACAGACTACTCCTTACAATGGACACTCTTGCAAAAGACACAGGAAGTTCAGGACTGCTCCTGCATGCCCTCGGTGACAATCCTAGTCTCTGATGGTGGTGTCAGATCAACCACGGCCAAGCTATGTGCCCACTACACACATGTATATCAGACCACAGTACTCAAATTTACCCACAGGATTGTTAAACCATGAATGTGGGAGTTTCCTATTGCTCAGGCTAACCCATGACGTCTGCGGTGACAAAGGCTGGTTCTTTTAAACGAATGTCAATCACTTTGAAAACAATACACTCGACAGACATTGCTTCAATCTTCAGAGCTCTGTCCTATGGATATACAGCCCTGGGTTCAGATACAGAATAATTATACTGTTTACGCTTTCGAATGCTCTCAGGTATATCCAATCCACTTCTTCAGTTAACAACTGAACTTTAATTTCTGGTATATTCCACCTGAGAAAGTTATATATTATTTAAAAAAAAAAAAAAAAACAGAAACAACTATTAAATGAAAAGTTTCCATAGCCAGTACTGGGTTTCTCTACTGATGCAATAAATCAAATCAGGCCATGTCTAATCTGAGCAAAGCATTCCTGGGTGGTCCCAGGGGGAAGAGAAGGAACCGCATGGCAGGTTGGGACCCAGAGTCATAAATAGCTTGTGGGTGTGGTCTTGAGCACCTCAGGGGTAGGAGCCATTAATGAGGCAGGGTCTGGAAACGGAGCGTCGGGGCTTGGTGGGGCTTCCCAACACTAAATATATAACTTAAATATTTAAAATATTGTACCAGTCTCAAGAAGGTCCACTCTGGTTCACAGCAAAGTGTTGTTGAACCCACGCTACCGCCTGGACCAGAATGTGGGTCTGTGAGGCAGGAGTAACATGCTCAGATTCCCCACCAGGAGGCGTACGTTGTCTGGCATCCACACAGGCAGGTTCCTTTCACTCTGTTGTCTTTATAAGAGTGCTCAGGTGCCCACGGAAGGAGAACACTGGCAGGCCTCTTAGGGATTCTCATCACTACACACACTGCTCTCCATCCCTGCAGGGTCTGAGGGAAGCCCTGCGCGTAAGTTAGCGCAAGTCAGACTGTGGCATCTCTTTGAAAAGTCCTTCAAGGACCCAGCCTACTACTTGGCATAAAAGCCTACATTCCTGGGAATCTCTTTTAGGCCTCACTCTGGGGCCTCAGCTTAGGCCATCTCCTCCTGCCTCCTCTGGCCACTCATGCTGCGTGCTTACCACATTCCAAACATGCCAAGCACCTTCAGCCAGCCTCAGACCTGTGCATGCACGCTTTATTTGTCCACATGACTTGACCTCCTCAGAGCCCTGCACGCTACAGGAGCCTTTTCTAAGAGCCCTCCTTCCCTTTTTCCCTTCAATGCACATCCGTAGGTGCTTCTTGTTCTGCCAATAGACCTGCGGTAATGGCCTTAGGGTGTGGCTTTGCAGTGTGGCTGTGACCCCTGATGAGGAAGAGGAGGGACCTCAGTCCGGCGGCTGTCTGTTGGGTTGTGGTCTCAGCATCCTCACGTCTATTGGGGGAACAAGATGCCACTACACGCATCCTACCATCTGATATGTTTTAGGCATGCAGATACACGTGTGTCTACGTCTGTACTTTTTGCAGCAGGACAGTTATCTCTGTCTTGTCTGGTCACTGTTGCATGCCCAGTACCTATGGGGGGTGGTGGAGGGTGTGCACCTGGCATACAGGATGGATGCTCAGGAGAGGCTCCAGCAGCAGGGTGAACCAGTGCATGCAGGAATGACTCCAGACGCACCCCTGGCTTCACTGCCTACAAACAACCAACGCCCCACCCAGGGCCACTGGCACACCTCCGACTTCAGGAATAAAGAATGTTCTCAACATAACATGGAACATGAAGGCCCAGGAGAGATGGCTCAGCAGTGAAGAGTGTACACTGTTCCTACGAGGACCCACACTCAGTTCTCAGCACCCACGCTGGGCGTCTTACAGGGACCCCCAGCGCCCTCTTCTGGCCTCTGAGGACATTGCGCCGGTGTGTATGAACCTACATCCACACCCATACCTAATACAAACTAGGCCATAGTAAAGCAGTATTTAGATTAGCAGTCTTGTATTGCTGGGGAGCTGGCAGGCTTCACAGGTTAGTGCACACAGACCTCAGCCGCTGTCTGATAACCCTTCTTCCCACACATGCGATTTCCTTACAATCAGCAGCGTCGTGGATTTAAGTTTATAAACATTTAAACAGACCCATGCTATTCACCATTCAGAGAACATAGCACTTCTGAATCTTACTTTCAAAATGCCTATTTTAAGTCCTTCTCTCATTGGTTGATGAATACATCGCTGATTGGCTAGTAGCCAGGCAGCCAGTGGCGCTACCAGACCAGGAGAAGGGGGAGGTGGCAGAGAAACGCCTGGAGAGAGACGCCATGCTGGCGAAGGAGTAACATGCTGGATTGCAGGCAAGCCACAGCCTGGTGGCAATACATCGATTAACAGAAATGGGTTAATAATTAAGAGAGAACTAGCCAGTAAGGAGCCCTAGCCACTGGCCAAACAGTCTCTAACTAACAAAAGTCTCTGTGTGTGCATTCAGGACCAGACAGCTGCGGGGCCAGGTGGGAAAGAAACAGTGGCTTCTGAACCAGGGCAGGACGGGGAACACAGTGAGCACCATTCCTACCTGGATGTGCCGGATGCCGCCCATGTTCATCCATGCCTGTGCCTGGTCAGGGTCCAGGGTCACAGCAGCTTCATAGCTCTGAGCACAGAGGGGAAGTTTCAAGTTAAGACACGAGACACATCTAAGGTGCCGCTGAACTGTGCAAACCTCTGCCCACATGGAGGCCCTGATTTCTAACGGCCACTTAGCAGGTGGCAGGTTTAGTCTGTTATCCTTTTACAGTTGACGGTTCTGAAGTGGAGGGGCCCAGGGGCTTCTGAGACAGCTTGTTTCTCTGGCTCTGCAGGGAAGCTGTGCTTTGTGGCTCTCACCGTAAGTGAGCTGATGAGGGACACTGCTGCCGGGATTATAGAATCCAAGGAGGGCAGGTCAGTGCAGAGCACAGGCCCAGCCCGTGTGAGGCCCTGGGCACGATGCCCCGGCACTCAAACAACAAAACAAAGCAAAAGAAGACAAAGGAGATCCATAGAACCCAAGGTGCTCTTCTAGCAACTTAGCCATAGCCCAGGCCCTCCAACCTCCAACCTGTTGCTGTTGCGAGGCACCTAAAGAAAGCAGCATGCTCACGCTGCTTTGTAGGGGTCCCGGCACTTGCTTTTCTTCTTCTGCCCTTTGGAAGCTCTTCAGAGCTGAGATGTGGAGGCACGCTGCTGTCATTTTATCTGCTCAGGGGCAAATGGCTTGATACCTTAACGAGGGAGTGTTCACTTTTTATTGACAGAGTCTCTCACTGTAGCCTTGTTGCCCTGGAACTCGCTGGCTTTGAACCTGTGGTCCTATTTTCTCCGCCTCCAAATAGATCTCTACATCCTGCTAACATGGGCGTGTTTAAAACAGTGTGTGTGTGTGTGTTTGTCTCTGTGTGTGTTTGTCTCTCTCTGTGTGTGTGTGTCTCTGTGTGCATGTGTTTGTGTGTGTGTGTGTTTGTCTCTCTCTGTGTGTGTGTGTGTGTAGGCACATGTATGTCACTGCAAACACGTGGAGGTGGGGGCCAACTTGGTGGCCAGTACTCACCCCACCAAGCAGGCTCCAGATGGTCAGACCTGGAGTCTAGCAAGTGCCTTGATGCACTGAGCCATCCCTGATGTGATGCTTATTAAGCTTTGAGAGAAGGAATGGATGGTCTGGTGGGGCTTCCCAGGGAAGACAGAGCCTGGGGGAAGAGCAGATCTACAGGTGATAGCAGGTGTCATAGATGTGTAAATGCCCAAAGCTACGTGGGCTCCAGTCCAGTGTGACAGAGGTTCTTGCAGACAAAACAGACTGTACTGTGAAAGTAGTTCTTAACTGGTCTAAATAATAAAAATCCAGAGTCAGATACAGACGGCAATGCTCAGAGATCACAGAAAAGGAGTGAGTCATGGCACACCTTACCTCAGCAGACAAGAGATTGATCCTGTTCCTCCCAGCTTATATCCTGTCTCTGCCCAGCTGCCTCACTTCCTGTCTGTCTGTACAGACCTCCAGACCTCTATGGTCAGCTAGTGGCAAGCTCCATTCTCTGACCCCAGAAGGCTTTATTTTTACAAGCAGGATACCACCACACAGTGTAGGTGGCTCTTCAGAATTCCAGAATGCGGGAGCTTTGAATGCTTTCCCAACCACAGTACTTTACGAGATAATACAGAGGTGGTATGTGTGTGTGTGTGTGTGTGTGTGTGTGTGTGTGTATGTGTGCACGCGCACACACATGTATGTGAGTCATCAAAAACCAGAGGCCTAAGTGAAGGAGTCTGTAGCACCGTTGACTAATCACAACTTTCACGCTGCAGACCACCAATGACTGGAGTTTACTGCCTAGACTCCTTCATCGGCTGTGGCATTCACTTAAACCTGCGAACTTAACCACCGTTTAGTTGGCCTTACCTCAAAAGCTTTGTCCAGAAGGTTCTGCTCTCTCAGCTGGTTTCCTTTTGTGAAGAAAAGTTCAGACACGACTTTTGGGTCCCTGGGCTTCAGCTGCAGAGCCTTGTCTATGGCCCCGAGTGCCTGCAGCAGTGGGAAATGCAGGGACCCTAACTTAGAGTGGCATTTCACCTCGGTTCACAGCCATCAGCTAGTGTGACCCACGATACACACAACGTGCTTTCTACACTACCATTTTCTCTCTGGGAACCAATGGCCCCAGGAAGAGCACTTGCGGTTCTGTGATCACGTGACCGTCTAGACTGCTGGCTCCTGGAGCTTGCCCCCGTCGGCTTGGCCCATAGACATTGCTTAGAAGAAGCACAGTTCTGCCTTTCCGTTAAAACTCCAAAGTTTTTCCTGGATCAGGAACAAAACCCCTGGCCTTTCCACAGGTTTGGGCGGGGACTCATCTCACCAATCACATCTGTCTTGTGATTTATTGACCAATCTCTGCCTCTCTCTCTCTAAATAACCTCTATTAAGACCAGGAGACCAGGGCGACATCTCCCCTCCCCCCCCATCTTCCCTTATGCCTGGTGTCTACCATAGTGTCCCACACTTTGCAGGCCTTTAACAAATACTTTCTTGAGTAGGTTCATGAATTAATGGTCACATGATTTCTCCACATGCAGATAAAGAGTAACAGTTCTGACAGCTCTGCCTCTCAGGGCTATTCTGATGATTGCATCAAACATCAGAACTTGGGAGAGTCACAGGGCATGCAGGAGCTGGGCATGCGGGGGGGGGCGGCGCTGCAGCACAGGGGCTGGGCATGAACCCGATAGTTAGCTGGAAACAAATTGTTAATTGTTTTTGAAGTATCTGAAAATCAAGGAGGAGCCAAGGATGTGCTGTTTCAAGATGCGTCAGAGGTAATCGGGCGTCTGAGAGAAAAGCTCCCAGTGGGCACTGTCCAGATCAATGCCCTCAAGACTGCGGCATTGTGGACACAGTGCTGGAGGAACGTTTGGTGGGCGCGGGGTTATTTTGTTGTATTGTATTTCTTCGGTGTCAACCCCACATGGCCCTGAGGGCCCTTCCTATCACAGCCTGTCAATCCTGCTTGCTTCGGTGGCTGGGAGCCTGGAGGAGAGACCCTCCTAACCTTCTCACGGTGCCCCTGCTTGCTGTAGACTGCCGACAGCAGGCGGTAGCATTCCAGGCATCGGGGTTCCTCCGACACTATGTGGCTGGTCATCTTCTCAGCTTCTTTGGTCTGGCCCATCACTGCCAAAACCTGTGCCTGCAAAAGCAGAGCGCCAGGCTTAGAGGACACCTGGTCACCCTCCGCAGACAGAGCAGCCTCCGCAGGCGCAGACAGGCATATACGAAGCATCCATCCCAACACCCAACACGATGCGTTTTAGAGACAGCTGAATGCCACGGCAGGGAGTTCAGCATTGGGCAGTAGACACCCACAGTTCAGCATTTGGCAGTAGACACCCACAAGCATGTGGGTGCCATCGATGTGAATGCAGATAAGAAACTAGTAACTGGCCAACAGCATCATATCAAATACAGGGACTCTGTGCGTTATTTGGGGCTGGCGGAAAACCTACTCATAACAATGTAGCAAGGAAGGAGTAGCAGGTCAAGATCCTTCTCCAGTAAGATAAAAGACCACGTGGAAATACTTAGCGTGATAGAAATGGGTTAATAATTAAGAGAGAGCTAGATGATAAGAAGCCCTAGTCAATAGTTTAATAATGAATGTGTCTCTGTGTGCTTATTTGGGGCTGAAGGGCAGTGGGACCTGGCGGGACAAGAAAAACTCTAGCAACAGGCCTTGTGTGGTGGATGGGTCACACTGAGGTCCCCTGGCCTAGTGTGATGGGTTGCACTGAGGTTCCTTGAGCTGTCACATGCTGGCCCTAGTACAGAGGTTTCCTTTTGGCTGGGAGGCACAGCTCTCTGTTTGCAAGCTGCTCTTATACCTACCATCACGTTCTCTCCTCTCTACTCACCAGTGCCAGGCGGAGATCCCTCTGGGAAGGCTGGAGGGAGACGGCTTCCCGGTACACTTCCAACGCCTCCTTGTGTCGGCCAGTGTTGTAATAGAGTGCTCCCAAAGGTGACAGGACCTCAGCCGTGCGGGCCACCTGCAGGGCACTACAGGGAGAAAGGCAAACAGATGCTTCTCTGGTGGGCACATTTCCAAAGGGCTCCGCTTTGGCCGAGGGAGGACTGTCCAGTGAGACACTTGCTTGGACTTAGTCTGTTTCTAGATCAAGGTCATACCGTATCCTGGGCGAATGCCCCCAGTGGCCCACCAACCTGGCAACTGGGTCCCCAGAGTCGGTACCATGACGAAGATCGCCTTGCTCGGGTTCTGACAAAGTGGCAGCCCCTCGTCTGTTTCTAGTATATACTCGGCTGCTTCACCCCGACTCTGAGCACTGGGGCCTCACCAGTGGGGAAGTTGTTGCGAGCACATAACTACACCGCCATGCTATTCTGGAAGGGAGGGTCTTTGTCACCTGAAAACATGTGTTCCTACTCTGGAAGCCTGTCTGTTCCAGTAACCAAGGAGCCCGTGAGAAACCGCCGAGAAGGAGGTGAGGAGAAGGGACTGTACCGTTTGTACCACTGTTCGGCCATGCTGTTCTCTCCCAAGGACCTGTAGAGTCGGCCCAGATTCACCACAGCCACGTGGTGGCTGGGGCTGAGCTGGATGGCCTGCTGGTAGTGAGCCACAGCCTTCTCTGGAGAGCCTGTAGTGTGGAGGGGTGGGAAGGGAACAGACCACAGGGATGAGGGGCGTGGCTCCCAGGCTCCCTTCCAGCACGATAGCATCATCACACCACCAGGAACTTGGTTTATGATCAGCTTGACTTTTTGCCTCTTACGCTTACCACTGCCTAACCTTGGCCCGTCACTACTCACCAAAACTTCCTAGGAATTAGTAACAAGTTGGCAGTAATTGTGTGAGACAGAATCTTATCCTTCAGCTCAGGCTGGCCTGAAAATCACTATGTAGCCCAGGCTGTCCTTGAACTCACGGAAATCCCACAGCTTCAGCCTAAGTGCTGTGATGACAGGAATAAGCCACCACAACTGGTTGTGGCTGTGTATCTAAGGCATTGTTGCTTATCGTAACACACAAAATAGTACAGGCCACTGCAGAAAGATCACGGGTCTCAGTAATTTATAAAGGCCTGTCTTAATTAACAGGACAAAAACCTGTAAATCACACATTTCATTCAGTGGTGTGTGTGTGTGTGTGTGTGTGTGTGTGTGTTGCACATACTCTCATGTACATGTGTGCACAGGAAGGTCAGTGTGAGATCCTGTGGGAATCAGTTTCTCTCCTTCCTTCCAGGAATCAAACTCAGATGGTCAGGCATAGGGCAAGTACCCTCCTTATCCACGGAGCCATCTCGTTGGCCTCAATGGTATGCATCTGATGTGATTCTAAACACGGGAGCTATGTCACCTTGCATTTGCCCAGTGTGTGTATTAAAACCCCTCTGCTCACATGGCTTCCACAGTTACTTAGGTTTATGTGGGACCATGTCAGGGGGCCGTCAGTGGTTTGTCGGGGCCCTTTTCAGGGGTCCACGTGGGGCTGTTCGCTGCTGAGTTTAAAGGACAAGCTTTAGTGCAGACTGTCTTCCTCCTCTAAGATGTGTTATCATGGTCTAGTGATCCAGCAGGGGGCACCACACAGCAATTTATATGCAAACACAGCTCGCTTTCCCTGGATGATCCGAGTGTAAGCTTATTAAACAGAAAAGCTTCAAACATCCTAGGAAATGAAAATCCTCCCGAGCACTCAATATTGAAAAATACTAATCACACTGAGTTCTCCCGTAGGGCAGACAGTCACCGAGCCAACGGAACAGAGAGACACTTCTGTATTAAGGCCAAGGGTCATCATATTACTTCTGAGGATACATTGAGCTCTGTACGTATCATAGAGGAGACAGAATCTATGCCCAGGTCCACCTGTCACAGGAGACCGCCATGTCAACTGCTAGGATGCACCTTTGTGGGGTGCACTTCAAGGAAACCATTCCAAAGGCTTAACAGAGTCCGGAGTCCGTCACAGCCACCAGCCACATTTGCAGCACTGGCGTACAGCCCCGTGGATACGGTGGTAAGAAGGGCAAAGTCACTTCCTGCTCTGGGGAGTCTTCTTACAGACAGGGTTCTGAGCCTCACAGTGCACGGGTCCATAGTGTAAGCCCCCTGCACAGCGGATACCTGCCTCTGGTATGAGAAAGGGAATCCCAGCTGAAGAGTGCCTCACTCACCAGAGTCGACTAAGAACACCGCGTAGTTGTTGTGTAAATCTGAGCTGTCCGGACAGTTCTTTATTCCAGCCTGGTAGATGTCCTCTGCTTCCTTAAATCTCCCCTTTAGCACAGAACAAAGAAAAATAAAAAATAAAGCTTTTTTTTTTTTTTTTTAAACGAGCAATACAGTGAGGATTGGAAGTGAGCAGGGAAAAGAGCAAACGCTTACTGAGCCTTGACTGTATACCAGGCACCAAGAGAAAATGCCACGAGCTTTGCCGGAATACAAGTCAACGCGCACAGACACGGAATGGCTTGGTTCCTCTGGTGCAAACACTGATACTTACAAAGAAGATGTAGCTTCTGAATGGATCCAGACCTGTGTGTGAGAAAGGGCTGAGAATGGCTTTTTGAGTGGGGTTCTCTCACCGTGGTGACTCTAATGGAAACGCTGAATATCGGTGTAGGCGCTGAGGCATGGGGCGCTGGGCGCTGGGCTTGGAGGCAGGGTGCTAGGGGGTTGACAAGTCCATTTGACAGAACACTTCCCTCCTTACCTCCATCTAAGATATCCCCAGGGGAGTTTCACAACGTGTGTGTGTGTGTGTGTGTGTGTGTGTGTGTGTGTGTGCGTGTGTGTGTGTATGAGAGACAGGGACAGAGAGAGACAGAGCCCTACTTGCTCTGTAGTCTAAGTTGACCTAGTCTATAGCCCAGCCTGGTCTCCTAATTCACCAGAAGCCTCTTGCTTCAACTTCATGAGTGCTGGGGATCGGGGCAGGTCTTTGGACGGGTGATGAGGGGAGACAGTGCAGGACACTGTCTTAAGTCCTTCTCTTCTTGAAGTATTTCCTGCGCTGCTTGCCTCATTAATTCTGTGCTTTCAGGGGGCTGGAGAGATGGCTCAGCAGTTAAGGGCCCTGGCTGCTCCACCTGAGGAGCTGGGTTCAGTTCCCAGTGCCCACACGGCAGCTCACAATAGTCTGTAACTCCAGTTCTGGAAGATCTGACAATGCCTCACGGCCATGCATGCAGGCAAAATAAACCCAGTGCACATAAAAATACTTTAAAAATTGGATGTCCAATATTAAAACGATATAATTTATTTAAAAAAAATAAATCTTTGCTTTCTGCTTTGGCCTCTGCAAAGGGACCATCTGTCCCCTTGAGACATGCCACACCTCCAGGGGACTACTTTCTAACTCCCTCCTGCTCTACACACCTTAACATATTTTAATTAGTTACAATTCCATTACTTTTAAATTCAGAACACAATAACTTTTTTCCCTTTTTAAATTTAAGTTTGAAACAAGTTTGTTTTATATGCCAATTCCAGTTCCCTTGACCTCCCCCTCCTCCCTGACCCCCCCAACCCCATCCCATCCCCTTTCTGCTTCCCAGGGAGGGTGAGGCCTTCCATGAGGGATCTTCAAAGTCTGTCATATCATTTGGAGTAGGGCCTAGGCCCTCCCCCATGTGTCTAGGCTGAGGGAGTATCCCTCTATGGGGAATGGGCTCTCAAAGTCCATTCCTATACTAGGGATAAATACTGATCCACTACCAGAGGCCCCATAGACTGCCCAGAGCTCCTACCTGAGATGCACGTCCAGGGGTCTGGGTGGGTCCAATGCTGGTCTTGACCCCTTTCAGAGCACAACAACTCATGGGTATTTTTCCCACAGTTCTCTAAACTCATTGAATCAACCTTTCTTTTAAAATACATGGATGAAAATTATGTAAATAATTTCCTAGGACTGCTGTGAAAGTCGGGTAAAAGAAACTGATCCAGTACAAAGTGCTTTGCAACTTTTCCTTTAGATGCTAAAAGTGTATCCCAAGTTATCATGACATCATCAGTCTTGTGAATACAGACACCTCAGTCTGCAAGTGAAGGTCGTCTTCTGTGCCGCTCGGTAAGCCCAGAGGCTGAGGTTGGGAGCCTGGCAGGGACGCCACGGACTCTTCATCTGGTGTGCTGTCTGTCTGAATCTAGCTATTTCAGCACCATTGAAGAAAGGGGGAAGTTTACATGTGACAAGCGTTATGCACTGAATCAGAGATTTGTAGGCCAGCAAAACGGAGATGTGCATTTCTCAAGCACCCTTAGCTGCCAAGTTTGACAAATGTCAAACTCAAAGAAGGTAAAGATGAATAAAAAAATCTCAAAATAGGTACATTTGATCTTAGTAAGCCTGAAAGAAAGCTTTGAAGACACTGTCCATTGAAAAGCGCGCGCACGTGTGTGTGTGTGTGTGTGTGTGTGTGTGTGTGTACATGCGCCTGCATGCTAAAGGACAGGAAGAGTGTACACTACATCAGATAGATTCCAACCAACATTTACAAAGTATTAGAGGGCATCATTGTTCATTAATTCATAGAGCATCACAGTTGCAGCTGTTATAGGAAGTAGGGGCACTGTCCACCAGGGGCCTGTGAGAGGGTTCAGTGGGTAAAGGTGTCTGCTGCCAAGCCTGGCAACCTGAGTTCAATCCCCTGAACTTACATAGCAGAAGGAGAGAACTGACTCCCTCAAGTTGTCTCCAGTTTCCACACCTACATGGTGGCACGCACGTACCTATGGGCGTGCACATGTGTGCGTACACATGTACACTTCTTTACATATAAAGAATTGGGTGGGTCTTTACCTGCTGCATTCTGCCCTGGGTGGGAGGGGCTTATAAGTTCTCATTGAGGAGCTGCAGGCAGCTGATGGTTGTGGGAAGGAAGGCTTGTTACTCAGTGGTATAGCTTATTTAAAACAATGAGCTCTAACATAAACAAGGCATCTATATAAAAATACCTTCCAAAGCAGAAGAAGGTACAATAGTGGCATTAATTGAGATATTGGATTATTTTGGTTGTGGGCATGCTGGGGACAGAATTGAGAGCCATGCACCTGCTAGTTACTGAGCTGTCTCCTGACTCCTTTTACCGATCTCTTTAATGTTTGACGTAGTAGAAGATACGTGGAGTATCACACCTGCTTTTGTGACCGTGTGTTTTTCAGGGTTTTCTGTTCTGTTAAGCGTGATAAGTGTGGCCTTACAAGCCCTTCCTGACTTGTGGATATATCGTGTGACCACCGAAAACGACTGCAAATTCACAAAAGAACGAGAGTGGAAAACAAGCTACTTTTTCACATTTGTAGGAAAGTTGCATAGACCACTGTGGACCCTGGCTCCCTCAACACTGTTAGAGTTGGTGACTTAGAGGGAAGTCCACAGCAAGATGTATTTAATGTATAGGAGGTATACAAAGGGTTCTCCTAACAATAGGAAAAGTTCCCTGACCACAGCTGCAGGTCTGGACCCCATCCGGAAATGTGTGACCATTCACTAGCACAGCACTGGGCAGCTGGGGGTGTATGTCTGTGACAGCCATGGGAAGCTGAGGACTCATGGGTCTGACACTGCGCGAAGCTGGGGACTGATTAGTCTGGCAACCTTAGGGAAGTGGAGATCTGGAGACTAAGGGATGTGACATTCCCGGGAAGCTGCAGTCTGACAAGACCGCACAGTCTGTGGCTTCCTAACCTCCTGCTGACTTTGCTAAGAAACTACTCAAGACACAGCAGCTCCAAGGATGAAGACCCAGAGGGTTCCGCCTCCTTACTCTCAACACTGTTATTTTCTTTACAGGACAGTAAGCGATCGACTTCAAGTGATCACAGGACATAGCTGGGGAACATTCTATCAATATCTGATGCCTCGTTTTTTCCTTCGCATCCAGTTGAAACGAATCAACGAGATTGGCGCGCCTCCTCCCCCGAGGAGGAGATGCTGGCATTTTCTGATGCTGCATTGTCTTTGTCCCCCGGCAGAGTGCGAGCAATGTGTGTGTGTATGACAACTCGGCAAAAGAGAGACAGCCACTTCAAAGAGGAGAGCCAGAGCAATAAAAGGGCAGTGAGGAGGACATGGCAACTGGAAGGGATAGCACTGGATACAGAAGGAGGAGGGTAAGGTAAGGGGAAGGGGAAGGAACGGCTTAACCCAAGGTAAGGACCTTGAGAAAGCCTTCCGGAAACGCACTAGCAGGCAGGGAGGAGGGAGTTAAAATGCAGGTGCCATGAACAAGTGAGCAGTGCAGCTCCCAGAATAAACGACATTAAAAACCAAACCACGAGATTCCCTCGCTAAGAGTTATCGACAGCCAGCCCCACTCCTAACTGAGGGACAACCGGCAGCTGACAGCTCGGGGGGTGGGGTGGGGGGAGGGAGAACCGTTCTTTTACGAAGGTTGTGCATGCTCTGGTGGATGAAGCTAAGTGAACAAAGTGGGTCATTTAAAGAAAAGAGAGTAAGACATGGAAATGGGAGAGAGATGTGTTGGGGGGGGGGTGATGGGGAAACGTCCTTCTGTATATACGTTTCTCTTTTTGGTTGATGAATAAAACACTGTTAGGTCAATAGAGGCCGGGAGATAGGCGGGGCTAGGAGATGAGGAGGATTCTGGGAAAGGCAGGCAGAGGGAGACCACGAGGGGACGTCATGTAGAGACCGGGAAGGTAGGACGCTCCTGGAGTTCTCCGGTAAGATAAGGCCATGAAGAAAGACATAGATTAGTAGTTGTGGGTTAGTAATTAAGACGGAGCTAGCCAGTAAGAAGACCTAGCCATCGGACGACAGTTTTACAATTAATATATGTCTCTGTGTGCTTATTTGGGGCTGAAGGGATGGCAGGACCTGGCAGGAAAAGAGACTCCAGCAACAGGGAGATGGTGTCAGGGAGAGGGGAAGACAGGGACGGGTGTGATCACATTACACCGTACACACCTATGGGATTCTCAGGTAAACGAGGCAATGCACGAGAAGGAAGGACACGGGGCCAGGAAAGAGGAGACCCATGTGCGTGACTCCCGGCTTCGCTCGTCCTTGTTGCTCCATCCTCTACTCTGGCAGATGTGAGATCCACGCGGTCTACCCCTGGCCAGAAAGGTTTTCGCCCTCAGCTTCCTGGTAGCTTATGGCCCCTGCCACACCCTTAGCCATTCGGGCTCAAGTCCCCACACATCCTCCTGGTGCAGAGCGCTGTCCACACTTGCTGCAGGCTTCAAAGTCCCCTTTCCGAGACTAGACCGCAGGGAGACGAGACACAGGAGTAGCCACTTGATGGACCTGC